TAACCAGCAAGCAATCAGTCAATCAATTGATAATTTGAATCAGACAAAAGGAAAAGAGCTCACTTGCGGAACTAAGAAGGGCTTCCATCCCGTCCTGGTATTGGGCTAAGCCCTTCAGTTGGAGCACACTTTGCTTGTTTGTCAGCACTAAGAAGGTCAAAGTGTAAGAAAAAAGAAAAGATACCAATACTAATAAAAAGGAAAACAAGTAAAGACATACAGATCTCGCAAAGCCTTGGCTGCTTCTTCCCGAATTTGACACTTGGTTGGTGATTTGGGCATCTTGGTGAAGGAATTGAAATGGATCGAGGGTGTAGTGATGGTAAACAAGCCTATTGACCTACAGTCAATAGGAAACCTTTTATATCTCAATTATGCTTCAAGATATGCTAGTATTGAAAATCAAATCTGGATTACTCGTCATTTCATTGATAAGGTAACAGAATAGCAACATATTTGTATTAATCATGAAAAGCATACATCAAATGTTGGCTTTCTAAGTAAAAAAATCATAGTAACATGTTACATTTGTTGAGATAGATGACAAAAACAAAAAAATACATAGTTTTCTTATTGTAATTGCTCAATTGAGAGTACCTATTTTTGTCATTGATGATCAATTGTTCTCATGAGTTAAAGAAAGAACCAAAGAACCAATCGCAGCAGTTGTATCTTGAATATAACCAGCATGATAATAAATCAAATTAGTAGTACTAGAAGTAGAACCAATACCTAAAGTAGTAGAAAGAAGAAGATAGGGGATCATAGAAAATAGTTTAAGATGAATAAGATGATAGACTTGATAACACAGATTAGTGAAATGAATGCTTACATGAAGAGTGTTCACTCTGATTTTTCGTTCAATTGTTGCTTCAACCATACCCAGCGCTCGTCTTCATCAAGGTTTCTAAAGAAAGAAGCTGCATCTTCATCTCTTAAAATATCAGCAGCTTTGACCCGGATGCCTATGTCAGGAAACATCTCATGTTTCTTGGCCAAGAAAAATTCCATGGCTGGCTTGCGATTGGGAAACTTTTTGTTGGCCAAAGCTGCAGCCTGAAGACGAGATTGGATTTGTTTGTCCACAGCGTCACAGTAGGTTTCCAATCAAGACTCGTGTCGTTCCTTTTTCTCTTCAGCATATTTCTTTTCAGCTTCAATTTGTTTTTCTTGATTTGAACTCATGAGTGTGATTGCTGAAGCTAAGTTGATAGGCTGTCTAGGGGTGGTCTTGATGATCTTCTTTTCTTGAGTGTCAACGGAGCTGATTGTAGGTCCACTGGCAGTAAAAGGATTCTTGCGCTTGTTTGAACTATCGACATGAGTGCTTGAGGTGGTTTGTTGAGTAGATGGCTGGTTTATATCATCCAATATCTCCTTGAAACGAGGTTCAGAAGGGATATTTGATTTGACAATACTATCGAAGTCATCCTCAGGTGGAGGCGTGGCAACTACAGAAAAGTAAGAATTGTGTTTTCTAAGATAGAGAAAGAGAAAGAAAATGGTCTTACTGTTTTCTTTATCGTCATTGTCGAGATGATTGTCAAGATGAGAAACATCCTCTGGGCATGAGGTCAATAAATTGCGTTGCTCTGACGTATTAGTTCTGGTACAACGAGCTCCACTGGCTGGTATATGACCAATGAGTTCTTCAAGAGCGTTGTAAAGGGGGAACGTCTTGTTTTTGTAAGTACGGGCGGTCTTATGCGTCTAAAAACAAAGTTAATGTCAAGTAAGGTCAGTATGATCAAACAAACGTGAACAAAATGTAGATTACTTTATGCCAATCTTCCCAGAAGGCAGGACTTGCTACAATTTTTTGCTCTGCGTCGTTCCAACCACCACCAGAAGCTCCCCTGATTTTGCGAACGGACTTAAAGTGGGTGGTGATCTATATTGGTGCAAAAGTCAAAATGTAAGCTGAATATAAAGTAGGATTTGAAAGAGTATAGAATGAAACACTTACCACAGTCCAATGGTTTTTTAGTTGAGAAAGGGTGAAACCGGGTGGAAATTGAAGTTTCAATCAATCGATGGCTGCATTCCAAGCAACTGGCTTGAAACCGTTATCGGCTTGATGACCAAGATGCACCTGTTCTTGAAGGCAGTTGATCAGAGCCAGACTACAGACTGTAGTCCATTGCGCGTTTGATTTGGGTTCGTCGGTGGTCTTGTTGGTGGTCTTGGATCAACCCATAGCGTAGTGAAGATGATGGATGTAGTGAGGTAGTGAGGGTTGTTTGAAGTCCGAGTTGATCAGGGTTGATATGACTCGAAGTTAGGAGGGAGGGTATGGAAGACGGGACTTGTAGATTTGAAAAAAAGTGTGATCGAGGGTTCTTTTTAAGAATGACGACAGTGCGAGTTGAAGGGAGGACAGGGGGTCACTAAAAATGGGACTTGTCCGATTTGAGAAAAAAAAATGAGATGGAGATTTTGGGTCGATTAAGTAGCTTATGGGAAAATAAGGAGCTGTTGAGCTCTTTATTTTAAGTTGCAATATAAGCTACTTATGGGTCCCATAAGTAGCTTTGAAAAGTCATAAAATTTTGGTTCCAAACCGACCTTTCAAAATTCGACTTATGAAAGTCAAATTTTGACATAAGTCGCTTAAGTTAAGCTCTACCAAACGACCCCTAATACTTTTACCGGACACTTTCAATTGAATACTTTAACACTTGTAAAAAACACTAACAAAAAAAACTACTCAATAAGCACCCACACACACACTTGGACAAATTGGACAATTGGACAATTAAAACTCCCCAAATTTCGCCTCCAGACCCCCTCCTTATACACCTTTCATCTCCCTATTCGCACTATCACACTGTCTAGCTAATTTAGTCTCCTATCCCCCCAATTTACATAAGATTGACGCTTTCACACACTACTTTACTCTCCTGCAACCCCTATTACATATTTCAATTTGCATGTAAATTCCTTTCTCATGTCACTTTGTATGCTTTCTTTACTCATCTGTTTGTTCTCTTTCATTTTGATTTGTCACTTTCATTTGATTCCTTTCAACTTTCCTATTTAATTTGATAATTTGAATTCATTGATTTGATATATTACTAATTAATTTAGTATGTGAATGAGTTGGTTTATTAATTTAAACTAACTACAAATTGATTGCATTGTTGTTCAGAGTTCTTCTAATGATCTAGCTAGTCGAGTTGATGTACAGTCAACTCCCCTCAATTACATACAGTTTGTACATTTGTCAAAATGCTGATCATTCAAACGCTTGACTAAAAGATCCAATATTGTATTATTTAGAGGTAGTAGCTTGGAGTTGGTGACTTGCTTCTGAGGGGGTCTATCTCTCTCGTAGAGTGCTTGTAGAAGAGTTGAAAAGGGCTTCATACCCTCAGGGAGATCATCATTTTTGAGTAGAGCAGATAGATTTCCTGCACAACAGTCACTACACAAAATGTAATCTTTACCGGGCGGTAAAGAAAACTGCTGACATAGAAAAATCCTGATGCAACAGGAAGAGAGCTAAAAATCTGAAAAAATATGCACCTTGTTCCTAGATGTTGGGGCGTCCTGATGAGTATTTTTTTGTATTTTACACACAGATATTGGTTAATGTACTAACAATAAAGGCTAAAGATCATCAACAACCCACCTGTAACAATACCTGAAATTTGGCCCATGATTTTGAAGACAATATTTTATGGTCTAAAAACTTCAATAACTTTTGCAATTCTGCTCCAAATGACTCGATTTTTGGTTCATTCAAAAGCTGAACCGTTCTCCTTTAAACTTCATAAAGGTAGTGAGGTGATATCTAGTCATGTAAACACTCTACATATGTTCAAACTGTTCTGAATAAATAGCTCTGTAGGATCTTTTGCAGACTGGCTACAGATGTGATGCCTGAATGATAAATGTAGAGGAAGGACCCACCTTTTTGATGAACTAAAATTTGAGTGATTTGATTCAGAAATGCAAAAGTTATAGATGTTTGAAGATTTCAAAATCCTGTCTTCAAAATCATGGGCCAAATTTCAGGTATTGTTACACGTGGGTTTTTGATGATTCTCAGCCTTTATTGTTAGTACATTGAACAATATCTGTCTGTAAAATACAAAAAAAAACTCATCATGACTCCCCAACATCTAGGAAAAAGGTCCATATTTTTTTAGATTTTTAGCTCTCTTCCTGTTGCCTCAGGATTTTTCTATGGCAGTAGTTTTCTTTACCGCCCGGTAAAGATTACATTTTGTGTAGTGAGTACACCACGGGGCGGCCTGCATGTGAAGATCAGGTGAAATTGGCCTGTGCCAATAAATCCTAGGCTCTTCACACTATGCCACATCTACCGGCTACACATGAAAGCCAGTGTGACCATTACCCAACATGGCCATGTGATCACAACCCGCCACATCTTTGCTTCATGAACTATCTTCAGGCAAATACCAGCGTTCCGATGCACTCAAATACCAGCGTTCCGATGCACTCAAATAACAGCGTTCCGATGCACTCAAATAACAGCGTTCTGATGCACTCAAATAACAGCGTTCCGATGCACTCAAATACCAGCGTTCCGATGCACTCAAAAGCGAGTGTTTTGAGCCATAATTGACAAAGTTATGGGGTTTGTAGTAATCAAAATTTTCTCTCAGCATTGATCAGCCAAATTCCAGCATCTGTTACAGGTGGTAATCTGATGATTATGAGGGTTTATTGTTAGTACACTCACCAATATGAAACCTAAAAATACGGAAAAATATGCAGATTGGAGATCTCAAACCAAGGAACAGGATGCATATTTTTTTTATATTTTTTGCTCTGTTTCTGACCTTTCCAGATTTTTGTATACAAATAATTGAATTTTCTGTCCAGAAAATGTTATGTTTCTTGTAGTGTTAGTACCAATTGAACCCTCATGAGGCTGAGAGAGGACTGTAATAAGGTGAATGTGACCAGCTTGATAGCTCTTAACTACCCTATGTGTGTGTGTGATGGCTCACCTGTTTGCCAGGTGAGCCTTCTCACCTAATGACCAGGTGAGCCATCACCTTGTGATCACATGGCCATGTTGGGTGATGGTCACACTGGCTTTCATGTGTAGCCGGTAGATGTGGCAGCCTTTTAAAAGATGCAAATGAGAGAAAGGAGATATAAAAAACTGATTCAATTGAGATAAACACTTGATTCTTTGAGATAAACGATGTATCTGGTTTTGAGATGAACAATCATCGTATTTGGACATAAACAATGGATCTAATTGTAAGCAGATACTAACATAAACGTATTTATTATATTAGTGATAGTGTTGCAATAATTGGTTTGAGAGGAACAAGACAGAAACAAACTTGCAAAGAATGATCAATCCTTTGAGACAAATGATTGATCCGAGTCTAGTCTTCTTTGATTTGAATCAAAGCTCTACATCAAGCTGACCACGATGAAGAGGATAGTTGTTAGTGATTGATCGGGTTTTGGATTGACCTGGATACAATAGACAAACAATCGATTCTAGGTTGAGATGAATATTGAATCTGATTTCGAGATGAGCAGAAACCAAGAAAACTGTCGTACTAGTGATATTGTTGTAAGAAAGAGTTTGAGAGAAAGAATTAGAAAAATTCACAAATGAACAATTGATCCAACTCTGAGATGAACGATTGAAATCCTGAAGAACCCAGATCAAGCAATCAAAGTTCCAACCTTGAAATGAACCGAGTCACTTCAAAACAAAAAACTGATTCAACTACGAAAGAAAAGACTTAAAAAAAAGAGAAAAAAGACTGATGGATCCAATCCAAGTCAAAGAGAGGACTTTGACCAATGATTGGCTCCAGAGGTGAGTCGTGATGTAATGGGAGTTGGTGGAGTCTGGATGTTACAAGAGGCAGTGGCACTGGTGATTGTATGAACCAGTGACATGCACCACCACCAGTTTTGCACTTGTTGAAGGTGAAATTTGAGGTCAGCTATCTTCACACCAATCTCATCAAAACTCAAACTTCACACACCACGATCTCATCAAACCTTGACCTTCACCCCGACTGAAAAAAAGATTGAAACTAGTTGATGTTGAGTGTTTGAAACATCTACATACCAAAGTTGACTTGATCCCAGTCATTGCCGAATCTGATACAATGACCGATGACGAGATCCTTGCGTTCAAACAGAGGGTATGTATTCAGACCTTCTTCCGCCTTGATCTAATTCCTACATACTTGTCAATCATCACTAATTTGAATATCATGTTTGCACCCTAAACAGATTCTCTTGGATATTGCATTCCACAACATTCACATATGTGAAGGTCCCCAATATGAGAAAGAAGATGAAGAGACTCTGGCTGAGAACAAAGAATTAATGGTCTTGTCACTTTGTCTCACTTTTGGCTATGCTATTTTCTTAAGTGTGTGTCAATCTCATAAGTGATATTTGTACTTTTTAGCAAAAATCCCATTTGTGATTGTGGGATCAGATACAGAAGTTCAAATAGCTGACAGTTGACAACTTCGAGGCCAACAATATCCTTCTGGAACAGTAGAAGTTGATAACAAAGATCATTGTGATTTCTTGAAATTGAGGCAGATGCTGATTCAAACGCACATGGAAGAGTTAAAAGAACATACTCTCAATGTGTTGTATGAAAATTATGGATCTCAGAAACTTTTGTCTACGGGAGTTACTCAAGATCATCCAGTGCTCAAAGAAATCAAGTCGGTATTCTTTTTTCTCAACATCTTGTTCTTCATACTTACAAATATAACCCACATTCTTGCGTGGTCACCCACATCCCTGCAGCAAAAATGGCAGAGGAACAATCTTTACATGAAGCTCAATTATCTAAGATGGAATCGGAAATGAAGATGGTCTTTCAACAAAAAGTAGCTGAAAAGAAAGATAAATTAAAACAATCAGAAGAAGAACTTTATGCTAGATATTGTGATATGAAGGAAGCTCTTGAAAAACAATGGTTTGTATTTCTTCTCATTTTTTCTTTGGAACATAATAAAGTGATCAATTTGCTTATGTTTTTCTTTGGTATTTCAAAGGCTTGAATTGGAAGATAAGAAATGTAGACTAGAATCTTATAATTTTGTTATAAGTTATGTTGTATCCAAAAAGCACAAGACACAAAGTTTTTTATTATGTTTTGTTTGTTTGTTTGACTTTTTTTGTCTTCTTTGGTTGTTTTCTATTGACTTCTCTCTTATCTCTTACTCCTACTCTGCCTTGTGTGAGCTCTTTTTTCCCTTTTTTTTGAAATAATCAAATCTGCTTTCTTTTGCATGCATCCAGCTCCCCCAACCCTTCTTCACCTAGTTTTCTTTTTCTAAGAGAAACAATGGAAAAATAAAAAACCAATATACTGTACAGTATTGAAGTCATTTTGCACAATGGACAGGTGCTCAGCACCCAGCGTGAGCTCAGCAGCTGATGCCAGCCTCACAGAGGATCTGGATGGCAGGTCGGTATTTCCATACTTGACCAACCTGTCATCCAGGTCCTCAGCATCTGAAAGAGCTTGGATGCCAATCATCCAAGCTCTTTTGGATGCTGAGGAACTCGATGACAGGTCGGTCTCAGACAAACCTGATCTGACTACTGATCAGCTGGTAAACCAGACTATGCAGATGTGCTCACTTTTTTCATGTCGTGGCTAGGTGACGGCCTGGGTGAGGTCCATGTGGCCTCCCTTGCGCGCCTGTCACCTAAAAACATCCTATAATTTCACAGCCCCACCACACGATGCCACTATTCCTCGTTTCAGGTGGGGCCAGTTCAAAATCACCCCATGGTGTATTAGTCCATTTCCATTGTTGTGACTATTTTTTTTCTTTGGCTGTTGATTTCCATATCAACACTCTCCTGAACCAGGTGAGTTAAGTTGCTTCTTTCTCTCCTTAAGTTTCTTACTGACCCTCTTCTATCTATCATTTCCTAGCGTTTCTGTATCTCATGGATTGGAATAAGATGATCGAGGCGAATGGAGGCCTTGCTGAGGATTGAGATGAGAAGGACATCAGAATCAATAATCCAGGGACACCAGCAGTTAAAGCAGCGAGAATTAAGGCCTGGGAGCACATTCAAATCATTCGTAATCATTATGCAAAACAAGAGGGTGTTGACATAAGTGTTGCTCCACCTACCTTTAAGGACTACAAGAGGTATATTATGAATTGTATTGGGACGGAACGGAAGGGATGTAGTGATGCTATGAAGAAGAGCAGGATCAAGGGCAAAGATAGACTCTCTGAATCCACGATAGCAAGGGAGATTTTACTCATTCGAGGATACGTAAAATGGAATATTCATGATTCCCAACTTGATGATGTAGATTTTGCCTCAATCAAAACATACATTGAATATGCCACCTCAAAAGGATGGCTAACACCAGGCTCCTTTTTTCCTTGTATCACCCTTGTATATCGGACATTAGAGCATATGCTCACCACCGTTCTCATCCTCTACTCTCAAAGAGGATGTCCCAACTGGGATATCCCAATTTCTCGTATCCTTACCATCGCCCTTGCCGTGGCCACTTCCTGCCGTGCTGGCGCTTTGACCCTTACTAAGGGTTATAACAATCGGGAGTGTCTATGCTATCAGGATATCAAAATTGTCTTGAAACCAGCTGAAGAGTGCTCAAATCCAATGAGCTTGAAGGATATTGACACCTGTATCATCAAACTTTGATATGATAAAAATGACAAATCAGAATCAGCAAACAAGAACAATGATCACACGGTCACTCCTCAGCTTGACAAACCAGTTCTATGCCCTATTGTCTGGTTGCTAGTCCATTCCCTTCAACATGGAAAGGTTGTGGGAGGAAGTAACCTTAATGATGTCTTGAATCACGCTCTCCAACAACCAGGCGGTGTAGAACTCCTACGCAGTGTAGCGTAGGCTGAGCCGGAGAAGGTAAGAATCACCGTCAAAGAGGACGGATGAAACTAAGATGCCAAGAGGCTGCCTTCAACCTGAAAAGAATTCTACGAAAAAAATACGTGAGACAAATTTTTACAACCCCGCCGTTACAAGTTTTCCCGTAAACCTAATTCACCCCGTACAAGGATTTACAAACTTTCCAAACCCTAATTATCCTCCCACAACTGAGCCACACACACAAAGTTTTTAAAAAAAACAACTTAAAAAAACACAACTCCTCCTGGAATTGAACCCAGGTTCAGTCCTTTTCCACTTGGCCCTGATCTGGCCCTGACTCGAGTAGACAGTTCTCAAAATAAAAATAAAAATAAAAAAAACAACCCTTCCTCCTCAACTTCAACAATGACCACACTTTCAACGCTTCTTGATAACCTTTTCTTTAAAGTAAGTCCTTTACTTTTCTAATCTTTGATCTTTAAACTAAGAACTAACACAAAAGAAAAAAACCTTCTCTTTGCTTTTATGCTAATTAGATAACTCAAGACTTATCACTTTCAGATTGAACACCAGACACTTTAACACTTTTAAATCACACACACAAAACACAACTTGATCGATCCAACACGATCTCCACACGATGATTCCCTTCCTTCAACACCGACAACACCCCCCTTTTATACCTTCCAACCTCTCCAAACCACAACTTAGCCTCAAGACTTTCCTTCTCTTCGCTCCGACCGATTCCGACCGATCTCTTGGCTTATTCCCACACTAAGGATCTTATCTCAACTCGATTCTTTCCTCTTTCTCATGGTATGTTTGTTTCCTTCTGCTTTCTTTTCTCATTCTATCTTTCTTTTCTACTACTGATGACATCATTTTTCTCTTCTTTCCTTCTATTCTAGGTTATCACTCCCTTCTTTCCCACACTAACTCCTTCCTTCAACTACTTATCATTTTCAATTTCGACTTTTTTTTTTTCCAGGTATGTTCCTTTCTTCTTTTCTTTTCTTCTCCTTGTTTATTCTCTTTTTTTCTCATGCTAACTGACTCTAACTCCTTTCATTCAACTGCATCATCATTTCGATTTCGATTTTTTTAATTTGATCTCTTTTCAATGGATCTTGTGTTTCAATCTCTGACCAAATAACAACTAATAAGTTCTAATTCATTTTTCTTTCTCCTTCCGACTGTTTTACATAATACTACTTGATGTTTTTATTTATGGATTGATTCAATTGTTTTTCTTTCTTGGCCTTCTAGAACCTCCTAGATTGATTAATAGTTTTTTTTTTCAATTTGATTCTGTACCTCTGATTGATATCTTTCCAGTGAAATGTTCCATCGTAAGTAACTCATGTTTCCTGTTTTGTGTTTCTTCTTCTAGTTCTTGTTGATTTCATAGTAACTAAAAAATACTTTTGTTTTCACTTCTATCCCATTTCTAGATTAAATCTTTCTTTCATTGTCCTTTTGTTTTTATTTTCTTGGTGGTTTGTTTTAAGCTGGATCAAATGGGTTGAGTAACACTTTAATTTGTATTTTGATTTGATGTTTTCTCCTTTTTCATAATCTATAAATTGTTTTCAGATTTCTTGACTGGAGTAAAATAAACTGAAGTAAATTAATATGTGTATATAAAAATGATCTAAAAGAAAATGCAAAAAAAAACTGTGCTTATAACATAATGATCTCAAAATTAAGATATATAAAAGAAATAAACTTTGAGCTTGAAGATGGTATTCTTGAATAAAATAAAACCTTGAATTTTGAAGGGGAATGAAGTGTTTATAAAGTCTGTAAGGTAGTCATCTTTTGATTTCCACAGCGGTCAAGTACAATGGTCTGCACCTGAGAAGCCAGTTATATGTCAAATGTGACACCATCCTAAAGGTCTCATTATGGGGGAAGCCGCTTGCACACAACAAGCTCTAGAGTCCATTAAACAATTTGGTACTATATCTGGATTCCAATACCAAATGACCTTTCATGCCATTTGGCATGGTGCTGCTGAGGATGGGGCGAATCTAGCGGAAGATAAAAGGAAAACCAATTTAAATCTGGGGTTTGCTGCCGATATGTTACATCATACTGATACAAGGGTTACCAGACGATATACAGGTGCTTTCAAATGTGATGACTCTAGTCTACAAAACCTCTATGGCAGGGCGGATCCTAGCCATCTCAATCTCTTTGATGAACCAGCCAAGCCTGATCCAACTAGCGAAAGCTCAAAAACATCAAGAAAACAAATATTGGTACATGATCTCCCATCTGGTTCTTTTGTGAACAATCCTTTTGGACAAGATCTGGTCAAGGCTATCAAGACCTTGAACACTTCTCAACCTGGCTCCCACTTGTCCAATTTGAACAGAGAGGTAATGGAGAGAAACGAGGATCAGGTTTCCAATGTAGAAGAAAATGGTTAGTCACCCCCTCTGAATGATCTGGAATTTCATGAAACTGACCTCCCCTTCTTCTCTTCACCAGTTAACTTGGACCCACTACTAAGAGATCCCTTGACAGTCGATCTCTTAATTAATCGAATGGAAGAAATGAGGGCAAATGATCAGATCCAGGCCTGTAAGTTCAGGATTCTTGATTCCCAAAGAGTCATTTTTTTGTTAATAAGAGTGATGTGATTTGAAAAGGCAATGACAAAGAAGAAGATGAAAGTCTTGAGGATGAGACTGGTAACCATGTATGGATCAACCCCAATTCAAGAGAGGCCCTTGAAATTTTCAAGGCAAACACTGCCATGATCATCTTGAAAAGCACCTTTACCCAAACCAATTTCAGCACTGCAGATGAATTTCTGATCTACTACTCTGCCATCAACACAATAACCAGAAATCATAATTATACTAAAGAAGAGAACATCAAGAAACACGTTCAAACTGGGGGTTCCTGTCATCCCCCATCATTCCACATCTGCAAATGTAAAAAAGACCCGGGTTGTGGTTATGAAAACATTGATTATGATTAAATGCTAGGACATGAAAATACCTGTACACCATCTTGAGCTGAAGCAAAGGCAAGAATCAGACCTTTTCTCTGTGATGGGCCCGATTGCAAAAAAGATTTTATGACTGAAGAGGGGTTGCACTCTCACCAGAGGATAAAACACCAGTTCCAAAAACAGTGATGCCCATACCCCGATTGTGAAAGGACAAACAACTTCTCAGCTCTTAA